CATAACTATCTGTCTTCAACTCCATCAAAGACCACAGAAGGATAATATATAAACTCTAGAATTGACAGAGACATCTCACTGCCTGGTCAGTCACTCAAAGTTCCTCTGTAACATTGGAGCATCCATCTTCAGCCCATAGGCCATAGTGTGTCTGGCAGACTTCTCAGCAAAGCAGAAAATTTCAAACTGTCCCACCTGTATTGGCAGTTTGTCAGCCATTTTTCTCCATGTCCTGAAGAATGCCTGGCAGACTCTTCCATGAAGCAGGAAGCCTGCAGCACTATCCCATCTTGTTTTGCAAGTTCAGAAGTAACTTTCCTGTGGGTCCTGCATGTCCACCTTATACAGCATACAGTCAAACAGTCCAGGCAAGAGCAGTTTCTTGCCCAAATGGCTATTTCTGCCATGTTGCAGGCAAACTCCATAACGAGTTTCTTTGATGCCCATCTTCCTCTCTGAGGTAATTGGTTTTGCCAGTAGCAGTTGTGTCTCTTTGCCATGAAAAACCCTGCTTGTCTATAGCAAACAGAGCTCACCCGAGGAAATGCTGCTACCAATGCTGCTTATCTCTGTTCTTTTGTTTTTAGACTCCCTTTTTAAGCTTTTGTCAGGTTTTATGTGGAAATTCCTGCAAACCACGTTGGCACCATTTTGTAGTGGAGGCTTTCTGCCTGGCTGGTCCTGCCACCCTTCTCAGGCCCAAATACGCACACAGACGTTATATTAATTATAAATCTGTTGGCTGATGACCAGGACTTCTTATTGGCTAGCTCTGTCTTAATTATTAACCCATTTCTATTAATCTACGTTTTCCACGTGGTCTTGGCTTACTGGAGATCTACATGACAACTACTCTCTGCCTAACTTCCCAGAATTCTCCTTGTCTCCTATTCCTGCCTATACTTCCTGCCTCATTGGCCACAATGTTTTATTCATCTGCCAGTAAGAGAAACAGAAGATATCCCCATCACTTCTTGGTAACTGCTCTGTTTGCTAGCTGCAAGCAGAGGTGTTGCTCCTTCAAGAGACAGCTTCCTGGCTCAGTGCTAACTACAAAAAAACTCTTTTAAGAGGCCCATCCTTTCTGAAGTAGATTGGTGCTGCCATAAGCAGACATGTCTCACTGTCGTGAAAAGCCTTATGTTATTAAAACATCTTAAATGATATCCTGTAGATCTCTGAAGTGTTTGAAGACCACGTATCTAAATATATATCTGTATTGAAACTTGAAAACATACCTAACATGATTACAAGTTTGATTATTATAGATATACTAATCTGAATTTCTAAGAAATCCTAAATAGTTTGTAATAATATCTTTCAAGGACTAGACATTTACATTACATTTTTAAATAAACTGCATAGGTACAATACTTTAAATAAGAGTAGAAACATATATACAGTATATTATAACAAAGATAACCTTAAATTTATATCAATATACAAAAATTCATTCCAATGTAAAATATTCGAAACGAGTAGTTGCTTTATAGCTTAAAAGTAGATTCGCTAATCTTCCCTTTGTTCCTATACCCCCTTTCTTACTTTTCAGAAAAAGATGCCTGAATCTAATCTCTTTTGCTTAGTTTTTCCATGACCATGACTTATAACAACTTGCAACTAACTCCCTAAACAATGACAAACATCTATAATCCACCAAACAACCAAAAACCACCCACCACACCTCTTGACAAAGTGGGTGTCATGTTCTTAAAATTACTTCCTATTATCTGGAGGTAATGGCATCTTTAGGGGACCTTGAGAAAATAAAGATAGTGGTCAAGTCCTGGAAGAGCTAGCTATTGTTTAGTCTCGGTGTGATGGGAAAGGTCAGGGCTTATCTGAAGTCATGGCTGGAGTAGTCTAGGAGGGTAGACAATCTCAGCTAACAGTTCTGAAGTTGTCCTGGATGCAGATTTTTGAGGAAACTACAGCAGAAGTATTTTTGAGAGGCTGGATCATTTGGGCTACTTGTCTTCATTGATTCTTTTGTTCTGAAAACACACAGACTTTTAAAGATAATATACACATCTGCATTAACACAAGCATGGGATGTGCAGTGCACACAAATCAACTAAAGATGATTTTTTTTCTCCTGTGTTTGGGGTAAAAGGAATCCGTCAACTTTATAAGTTCATTTGGACTGCATAACCAAACTGTAATATAAAGCTTTATCCATGCCAAATGAAAGGGTGGCATATGTCATGAGGATTCTGTAGCCAACAAGGTTTATCATGTCTCATCCAGACCCAGAGCCATTTCTATGCCAAGAGATCTGCTATACATCACCTGTCTTTTTCGTTTTTCTTGTTTTTCTTCCTTCATGGCTGTAGCCAAGATTTTCAGGAGGTCTCCCATGATAAATTCTGGTCTTTATTAATTTTGAAGGAATCCATGGCTTTTTGTTTCCTGAGGAAAACAAAGGCATAACCACTCCCCCAACACAACATACTTTCTGACTTCAATTCTGAAGTTAAGACATTCTTAAAATATATAGACTGGTTTAATTCAGCAGTTTTTCTACAATTCAATGTCTCTCAGAAGCTGCTTTTTATTGTTGATGATGATGATTATCAGTTAAAAAGATTCAAAGTCAACAAAGCATCACACAGCATCCAGACTCCCTGTGTGCTTCCCATCCTTATATGGCTTATTCTTCTTATATTATTTTACTGTTTCTTTAAAGACCTTCCTTCGCTATTTAAACTATTTTTTCTGTCACTGTCTATACCCATTTTCTTTTCTTTCTTCAGCACATTTTTAAGCATACTGCACCTGTTCAGAGGTCTTCCCACCTTGAACCTGGCTTTTTTTTGTTGTTATTATTTTTTGTTTTTGTTTTTTTGGGTTTTTTTGCCAGTCTGCAGCTTTTCTCTGAGCCAAACCTTAAACTGTTAGGCTGTTGGCTGAGCATCTCTGCTTAGCACATGGTGCTGGCAGCTGGCTCTGTCCCCTTCAGCCATGGGTACCAGCCAGGTACTGTGTTTACCCATCCTAGCTCTGGGAAGCTGTTGGGCCTGTGCTGCAGCAGGAATTTCTATTTAGACTCCAATTCTGTCTAATGATACACTGTTCAAGTGCCCAGCTGTGTCTCAGGGCCTCTTAAAGGAGCCGCACCTCTGTATGCTGCAGGCAGTGGGCTCCATGCATGTGACCCATGTTAGTCAGCAATTATAATTTGACTTTCTTTTGGAGACCACCAGTTCCCAAATAATGACACAGAGACTTTTTATTAATTACGAATAATTAGCTTAGCTTAGGCTTGTTCACAACTAGCTCTTATAACTTGTTAACCCATTTATATTAATCTACATTCTGCCATGTGGCTCATTACCTTTCCTCCATAATGTATGTCTGCCTTCCTCCATGTCTCACTGACAAAATCCACATACCTAGATTCATTATCCCAAGTTCCTTTCTCTGCCTGGAAATCCTGCCTAACCTCTCTAGCTAGTGGCCATTCAGATTTATTAAGCCAATCACCATGACACATCTTTACCCAGTGAAAACAAGTATCTGGCAACAACTTCTCACCCCAAACCATAGGCCTGTAGGTAGAAGTGGAGAGTATCTCCACCCACAACAGTATACCACATAAATCCAAATTCAACTCTCTTTGTCACCTATTCCAATATGCTGAGGTGACAAGCAAGACCCAAGGATTCTAAATTTCTGGGCTACCTTTCAAATAAAGATTTATGCCAAATTTTTTGACTCCGGTTTTAACGAAACTGAGCACTTGTTGGGGGAGTGGGCCCCTCTAGAGCTGCAGAGGACTGGGGCCAGACCGCAGGACTGAATACTATGTCTCTTTTGACAGTCCTGGAGCATGAGACCTCAAGATCCCAGCAGCTGCAGAGCCAGGCCCATAGCTTCTAGCCAGGAGTCCAGGGTCTTTGAGGGTCTGCAAAGCACTGGGTTTTATTGAAACAGGTGCAAAGGTTATTTATGACCAGCACTGTAAGCAAAGCAGCCCCACAGAATCCTCACAGAAGTTTGTCTTTTGTTCATCTGGAGAGCCTTTCCCGCTCTCCTGAGCTCCTGCAGTTTCGGTCTGCTCATGACCAGCTGCTTAAGTGCAGCACACCTATACTGCCTTAAATTCCACAGTATTAAACAGATCAAAATGCTGTCGGGTATCCTCAGAGCTGCATTTGTCTAAAAATCATGGCAACTAGATAAAACAGAAGGTGGGATGCACTTGAAAGGGCTCCAGATCACATCTGAAGCTGTCTCCCTGCTCTTCAAAGCTGTCCCAGTACATTAGGAAAACATCCAGGTATCTTTCCTCACTCTGCTGAACTCTTAGCTGTTAACAAAAGCTCTCTCTCTCTCTCTCTCTCTCTCTCTCTCTCTCTCTCTCTCTCTCTGTGTGTGTGTGTGTGTGTGTGTGTGTGTGTGTGTGTGTGTGTGTATTCTCATGGAGTCTTAGAGACATAAGAAATTTCACTGGAGAGTGAGAGGGAGTGGATGAGATGGTGGGTGCCGCAGGCAAGGGAGGTGCTTGCTGCCAAGCCCGATGACCTGAGTTCGATCCCTGGGACCCACATAGTGGAAGAAGAGAACTGACTCCTTAAAGTTGTCCCCTGGCCACCACGCACACACCACCATGATACACTCACGCTATGATCCATACACAAGTATGCATGCATAAGCACACACACTAAAATGTCCAAACTAATTTTTAATTTTTTTTAAAAAGAGGAGAAAGGCCTGAAATTTGTGAAATACCATCTTGGGTAGAAAGTGCAAAGACTAACTGCCACCTCTCCCGGGGTTTGTGTAACCTCTGTGTCCCCACTTCTCAAGCAAAACACAAGCAGTACAGCAGCTATTCATTCACATTCAAAATATCCAGAAAAGAAATGGACGCAGGCAAAAGTGTTGAACTTTATTATGTGGGGAATGAAGTTCACTGGAGGAAAGAGACAGATCTGAAGCAGCCCACTGGATTCCATGGGACGTTGGAGGACAAGGGCCTTGAGGAACAAATGGTTCGTTCAGATAGTGATGGTGAAGTATGTGACGGTGGGCAGGGTTATATAGTCTCGGATCCCTTTTGGCTTCTCATTGGATTGGACTGGCTTCTGGATGATTTTGTGCTTTTTGTTTTGCAGTTCGTTGATGCAGCAGTATTTCCCATGCAGACATCCCACCTCCGCTATCTCCCCTAATTTGCATTTCTTCCTGCAGTAGCCTGATAAGTTGTGAAAACATCTTTTGGGTTGTGCACCACCTGAACACAGGAAACAACATTGAGCAGGGTTAGTTTCTGAGGGAAAGCAGAGATGCAGCTGGGTTCCCCACTCACAGGGACAACAGACACCGCCTCTGCCAGCATCTCCTCTGTCCCAAACGGAAACCTCATGCTGACACAAGGAAACTCAGAACACCCAAATTAAGGACGCTCATGGGGCTGGAGAGATGGCTCAGCTGCTAAGACTGCTTACTGTACTTGCAAAGGACCCAGGTCTGGTTCCCAGCCCAACGTGGTGGTTTACAGCTATCTCTAATGTTCCAAGAGACCCAACACTCTCTCCTGGCCTCTGTGGGCACTAGACACACATGCAGTGCACAAACCTACATGCTGGCAGAACGCTTGTACATGTAAAATTACTCTTTAATTTTAAAAAAGGACAGTTGGTCCTGGCCAATACCCAAATAGCCTTAGAAATACCCATGACAAAAGAAGAGGAGACTGACTCCTCTTCACAGACCGAGTTGGGTACCATCCTAAACCAGGCAAAGCCATCCTGCTTTGTGTTCTGACGTCAGCACTCCCTCAGTCTTGTTTGCCCCAGAGACACTAATGCATCCCCATCGGAACACTTCACAGCCAGCTTAGCTTTTAAAAGAACATGTCAGGCTAGGCTAGCAGGACAGCCCTGCACATAGGACACCTGCCGGGAAAGACTGGCAGCCTGTGTCCAATTCCCACAACCCACACAAGGTGGAAGGAGAAAGTAAGCCCACAGGGTTGTCCTCTGACCTCCACTTACACCCCGAGCGTGGCACACATGCAACCACAAATACACTTCACACATGTACTATAATAATTAAATAAAGTTTAATTTTTTTACATGGCTTCAGCAGGCCAGACTCAGATCCTCATTCTCACACAGCAAATGTACTCTTACCTACTAAGCATCTCCTCAGCAATTTTTTTTTAATTTAAAAGAAAATCACAGAGGTCAGCAGAGATGTCTCAGGAGGTTAAAAAAAAGACTTGTTGCACAAAATCTGAGTTCAAATCCCCTGTGCCCACATAAAAATACAGGTGTGGCTGTGCCTGTGACCCCAGCACTGACTGTTGGGAGACAAGGTAAAGACAGGAGGGTTGTGGGGCTTGCCAGTTGCCAGCCTAACTCCAGGTTCATTAAGAGAGCCCAACTCAAGAGAGTGAGGCACAGAATGGTAGAGTGAGACACCCAGGGCACACGGGTGGATATGCACAACACACACACACACACAACATCACAGGCACACATGGATTCAGACATGCAGCATCATAGACTCTAACTCTCTCTTTCTCTCTCTCTCTGTCTCTGTCTCTCTCTCTGTCTCTGTCTCTCTGTCTCTGTCTGTCTCTGTCTCTCTGTCTGTCTCTCTCTCTCTCTCTCTCTCTCTCTCTCACACACACACACACACACACACACACACACACACACACACACACACCCATAGACAGTCCTTTTGCATTTCACACTTGGAGGCTGAAGGCATCACCCTTGCCAAGATCTCATGAGTTTCAGGCACTGTTGCTCCCAAGGACCCTTTCTGCTCATCCAGACAACTTCTCCAGAACCTGGCTGTCCTCTCTCTCACTTTCTTCTTCAACTCAAATAAATGTCCTACCTCATGAGCAAACACAGCTTGATAGACACCTCTGCCCCTCAAGATCCCAACTTCCCACTACCCATGTGCTAAGGTCCCGATGTCTCTGTCTAAGCCTTAATTTCCCTCCTCACACAAAATCAGACAGGCCTGAAGAATAAATGTGGACAACAAAGATGTATTCTCCCTGTTCTCAAACTTCATAATGAGCAGTACCCTTTAAGATGAGACAGCTGTATTTTGAGGCCAATGAAAACTGCAATATGGCTCCTTGCAAGCAAGGCAGAAGGGAGACCCTGATGCCAGAGTCCTTCCACCAATGCAAGGCTTCACATGCTTACATCTGAGCCAGAGATGTTACACCCACTTGCCAGAAGAGAAAAATTAAGATTAAAGCGAATAATTCTCTCGGTTAATTAGCTACTTAATGATGAAGAAAGGCTTTCACTGTGCTGTTCACATCACTGCTGCAGCCCAGGGAAGAAAATGAATTTGAGTAGAAATGGGGGTGGCTAAAGTTCTCAGATAAAAACTACTCAGCATCCTAACGATGCTTCCAGATGGTGATCTGATCAGTACCTTCTGCAAGGATGCCTCTGACCTCATTGCTTGCTCTCCCTCTCCCAGGCGCCCAAGAGAAAGGGCACAACTGATGATGTTGGCCAGCTATCAGCAATCTTCAACATCCCGCCCCTGTTGTCACCAGCACTAGTTAGTGTTCCTTACTTCAGGGTGCATTCGTTCAAGTTACCTGCAAGTACCACAAACAGCAGAATAATGAAAACCTTAAGCAGCTTCATGTTTACAGACCCTCCAGACACAGCCGGGTATCCTGCGGTGCAGCACAGCTCACAGCACCACAAGCCAAGCTTTGGTTTTAACTCACAAGGACAGACAGGGAGTCTAAGCCCAACCCCACCTACATCCTCAGATTTGGAATCCACGGTCACATAATGTTCCATCCTCTCCCACTTACTGCCTTTTCCTCAGGATGTGAACCCCTGCTGTGCTTTCTCCACCTGGCTGTCATCCCACTTGGCTCAAAGTTGGCTAACTAAATTCCCTGATTTGGATGAGCCATTCCTTCTTTATGATCATCATTGCTTCTCTCTCACAAAAACAATCCAAAAATGACACATAGTGTTAGATTAGAATCCATGGGAGACTGAAGACAAGATACCCAACAAAACAATGCTTTATTCACAAACTGTTTTGGCCACACCCTCAGTTCAGCATCCACCTTGCATCATTTAGGAAGTAGCCTGTGCTGCGGCCATTAGTATTTCTAGTTTCCTTGTGATGACACTTCTGATGACACCTTGAAAGTAACAATGATCACCTACTTCATGCATTCATCCCTAAGTCTGTCTGTTCGTCTAGCAGGTTCTTTCAAGTCTCTGAGCTGTCAAATTGCCATCTGGATCAGGTACAAGAAGCACACAGCCTCCTCATTTTCAAAGCTGTTTATGGCTAAGTATCAGGGTTCCTCTTGAGTAGTCTGGAAAAGATAACGAAATCTTGCTTTATAGATGTGGCCAGGTTTTTGGTGGGTTTTTTTTTTTAATTTTTAATCACCTGTCAACATATTTACTCCCACCAGCATCCATAGCCACACAAATTGTTTTTAATACCTTACTTATAAATAGATTTTAAATGCATTTCACTTCTGACAAAGGTTCTCTGAATTCCACTTAAGATGTTATCTTTCCAAACTGTTGCACAGGCTGAATTTGGAAGAACAGGAGTGTTAATTCTCACACAAAAAGACTGAGACACTTGAGGACGTTTGTTTAGAAGCAGAGACTGGGTGACTGACAATTCAAGCTGCAAATATCAGACACGCATTTATCAAAAAGGAAAAGAACAGAAAAAAAATCCTTTAAAAAAAGATTCATGTGCTCGCTTCGGCAGCACATATACTAAAACTGGAACGGTACAGAGAAGATTAGCATGGCCCCTGCGCAAGGATGAAATGCAAATTCGTGACACGTTCCATATTTTTCTGCTCCTAGCAGGCTTTGCCTGCTCACTGGCCTGCTCTTTGTCGAAATCTAAGGTGCTTAAAGAGAAAGGGTAGACTACCAGGTGCCCCTGTCCTCTCTATCCTCCCTGTCCTTCCCAGTTTGTGGGAAGTAGAAAGAAAGTAGTGACGACCAGTGAGTTCTCTGAAAGGTAGGGATGGGACATTTGGACTATGAACAATGAGAGGGAAAAGGGCAGGTAAGAGGCTAGCTGGAGGCCCAAAGAACAAGAAGTAGCCAAGTCACTAGAGATACAAGTAGGCGACATTAAGAATCAGGCCGGGCGCTACATCTAGAGACAAGCTGACAGAAGAACTGGAGATCCGCATCCAGATAAGACACAGAGGATATAAGTCAAAGTCAGTACCTGCTGTTTCTAGCCATTTCAGCAGTCTGCCAATTGAAGTGGTTCCTTCTACTTTCTTGCCTCCTACTCTTCTATATCTCTCTTTTCTACCAAGGGACTAGTGCCAAAAGGTCTCTGCCAGTTTTTATAATGTATCTAGCCTTGAGTGTCCTGCTCACTTTTTTTTTTATTTTTTCTTTTTTTTTTCTTGAGACATGATTTCTCTGTGTATCCCTGGCTGTCCCCAGTGCTGGACTTATAGGGGTGCTGTGCCACCAAACCCAGCTCACACATCTATTTTTAAAGTGTCAAACACCCACCTGCCCCCTCCTATTTTGGTTTTTTTAGACAGGGTATCTCTGTATAGTGCTGGCTGTCCTGCACCTAGCTCTGTAGACCAGACTGGCTTTGAACTCACAGAGATCCGACTGCCTCTGCCTCCTGAGCACTGGGACTAAAGGTGTGTGCCACCATGTATGGCTCACCTGCTCCTTTTCTGAAAGCACAGTTGAGTGGCACTGGGCCCTGCCCAGCATCTCAGTGGAGACCTATTTGCTCTAAATTTGAGCCCCACAATTTGGGTGGGGCAGAATGTTTGCTGAACTGGTCTGGAGTAAAGGGAAAGTAGGTACAACTTTTGACACCAACCACTACAGAAGGTGGACATGGTGCCCCATACCTAGATAAGAAACATTGACCTGCCAAAACTTTTTATATCTGGGGGGGTTGAAGATCTCCCCACCCTGCCCCAGGATTATTTTGGGGAAGGGAGGGCTGTGCATAGGGGCATACTCTGTAGAATCTATACCTAAAAAAAAAATATTCATTTATTTTGTTTGCCAGCATATATGTCTGTGTAACACATGCATACCTGGTGCCCATGGAGGCCAAAGGTGTCAGATCCCCTGGAACTAGAGTTATAGACAGCTGGAAGCTGCCATGTGGGTGCTGGGAATCAAACCTGGGTCCTCTGCAAGGTGGGTGGATGTCTGGGAGTTTGAGGCCAGCCTGGTCTATAAAGCAAGTTTTTTAGTTCCAGGCCAGCCAGGGATACATAATGTGATCCTATCTGGAAAGAAAGAAAGAAAGAAAGAAAGAAAGAAAGAAAGAAAGAAAGAGAGAGAGAGAGAGAGAGAATGGAAGGAAGGAAGGAAGGAAGGAAGGAAGGAAGGCAGGAAGGAAGGAAGGGAAAGAGAATAAACTTCCCCACTGAGAAGCACTCCTCATTGTATAAGACATAAAATATTAGTTACAAATAACTGTTCAAATGTCACAACCCCTTTGAAAGTCAAATGACCCTTTCCACAGGGGTCACCTAAGACAGATATTTATATTATGATTCATAACAGTAACAAAATTACAGTTATGAAGTAGCAATGAAAATAATTTTATGGCTGGCGATTACTACAACATGAGGAACGTGTATTAAACAGTCACAGCATTCATTAGGAAGGTTGAAAACCACTTTCTCAGAGGAATAAATTTTCATAGTTCAGAGAGCATAGATTTAAAAACTAGCCAAAGTTATTTTCTTAGTGTATTCCTTTTCTATTATCAGAGCAAGAGGCAGCAAAAGATACTTCTCCCAGTTGAAACTCTCCATCCAGTAATCCTACGGTCCTCATACAGCTCCCTTTCTCCAAGGAGACACCTTTGAATGGCTGCCCAACTTTCATTATCTTCCACTGAAATGCCAAACTTTGGATTTCAAGTACCACCTAGTGGCCAATTATTTTTCCTAGTTGCCCAGGCATCCAGACTTTCAATATTGTATGATAACTCCACAGAAATGATATAAATCCATTGTTCTGCATGGTCCATAGACATCTAGAGACCTCAACCTCAGAGGATGTTCGAGTGGGGCTGGAGAGATGGCTTAGCAGTGAAAGACACTCACTGTTCCTGCAGAGGAACCAGCTGACATAAGTTTGTTCACGACTACCTGTAACTCTAGTTCCCAAGAATCTGACAGCCCATTCTAGCCTCCACAGGAGGAGCCAGAGAAAAGAGGACCCCAGGGGCTCATGGCTAGGCAGTCTAGCTAATTAGCGAGTTCCATGTTGGGTGAGATGCTGGATGTGGTGGCCCACGACTTTAATCCCAACACTCAGGAGGCAGAGGCTGGTGGCTGTCTGTGAGCGCAAGGCCAGCATGGTCTACTGTGGTAGTTTGAATGTAATTGGCCCCCATGAGCTCATAGGGAGCAGCATTATTAGGAGATGTGGCTTTGTTGGAATCGGTATGGCCTTGTTGGAGGAAGCGTATCACTGTGGAGGCAGGCTTTGAAGTCTCATATATGCTCAAGCCATGCCCAGTGTCTCAGATGACTGCCGATGCCAGAATTTGGCAGAAAGACCTATTACTGGAGACCATAAACTTGAGTCAGAACATTGAGAAATCAAGTGAATACCATCCTGGAAGCGTCTTCCCTATTGAATAGCTCTCACAGTGCCGGGAGGTGCTATGCATGCTAGCATCAGAGAGGGAAGGTAATCACCAGTCTTGCCCCACTGTGAGTCCTGTGAGCTGCAATAACTACTGGCCTAGTAACATATGCTCTGATGCAATAGTGACACACAAGCTGTGTGAATAACCAGAAACCTCCTGATCGGATTTAAGGTCCGCCTCACAAAATGAAACCTATAGCTGGCACTATTAATGGAACCAATAACCCGTGACTATTCAGGTCATAGGCTGCAGGAGACCCACCTATTATTATTCTGCTAAATGAGCACAGTATCAAACTGACTCCCAGTGACTTATTGCTATATACAGATTCATGCATCTCTACCCTCGTCAGAAAAGCTTCTTGCAATAGTTGGAGATTAACACAGAGAGCCACAACTGGTCAACATGCAGAGAATAAGAGACTGTGGGGTCTCTTGGAGCTAAATGGGACCGTCTACATTATACCATTTCCTCCCCAAACTCAGAGATCATCTCAGAAGAGAGGGCAGAACAATTGTTAGAGCCAGAAGCAGATGACCACAAAGAGGCAGTGTTTTCCAGATCCATCAGGCGGTTGCATATAAAAACTCACAGGGGTTGTGAAAGTGTTCATTAGACCTGCATAAGCTCAAGCCAAAAAGAAATTGCAGTGTGGAGGAGGATACGAAGTTCCACCCCATGCTCAGAAACTATTGGGAACTAATAGCTTCCGGGAGAGGGAAAGTTGGTTTTCTTTAAGGTTGTGACTCCTAGTAAGATGACCACATTACAGGGGATAGCTCCACATGCCAGAGAGTTTGGGCAGCACAAATGAGTTATTTTATTTAAAAAAAAAAATCCTTGAGGGGCTGGGGAGACCGCTCAGTGGTTAAGAGCACTTGTTGCTTTTGCAGAGGACATGGGTTTGGTTGTACCCACATGATGGCTTACAACCATCTGATCCAGGGGATCTGGTGCCCTCTTGACATCTGCAGCAACAGGCACA